TTTATATGAACCCAATACACATTAATAGTAATTAATAGTATTTACTCCCCTCAATTTTTTAAATTTTATATAACCAACGCAAGTTAAATCAACCAATAAAATTACAGTATTATTATTTTTGTGTTTTTTTTGCCCCCTCCCCCCCACTTCTATAAATTATTTAATGTTATGTTAAACGAAGAATCAATTTGGAGTGGCCTAATTAATAAAAAAACTATGTATATATTGTAATATAAACAAAAATTCAAAATTTATTTTTAAGAAAAATTTAAACTCTAGTTTATTATCTGGAGTGGCAATTGTTTTTATATATAATATTATTTAAGTCTCATTCTAACTCCTATACTATCTTGTCACAACATCTAATATAGTAAACTTTTAATATATATGCTTTTTATTTCTTAACATTATAGTTAACTATATATCACGAAGAGCCACTTTAGCCAAGAATCATAATTATAAGCCAATCATTTGAAAATTTCCAATAGAACATTCTAGAATCAATTTTCTAACGTTATAGAAACTCCCGGTGAATCACCAACCATAGCATAAATCAGTAGATATCTGCGAATCATCGATCTCAAAGTTCAATAGTTTATTTTAAATACTTATATTCACATGATAAATTAACGTGAATAAAATAAAATTACCGTTGGTATACAGTGGCCAACAGTAAATAGCAAATGTTCGTGAACTTGAATATTTTATTTTAAATACTTCAGTACTTAAGATTAATAAATGATTTTGTGCTTATGTATTAAAAAAAGCTTATTCTAAATAGATTAATAAGTGCAGCATACTATTGTAACTATTGCGTATAAAATTAAATTCTATTAGTTTAAATATTCGGCTTAACGAACATTCTTTACTCACATCTAGAATAAAATTAATTAGGAAACATTTATAAATTTTGATTAATTTTAAAAAATGCTTAGGTATATATATTTTTTTACTCATGGACTAAAATAAAAAATATTTTTATTAAGAAGTTCTTGATACGGTTGGGTAATTGCCAAATTTGAACAGACGAAATATCGATGTTTTTAATTTTTAGCTTAGCACTATTTTTTAGCCAATTAAATGTTTTGGAACGGACAGCGAAATAATTTATCAGAAAAATATTAGACTATTCATGCATTTTCATTGGTTAATAATATACATGTTCCAGTGGAACGGAATCACTGGAACACTGGAAAATCTGGACGTCCAGTTTCCAGTCCAACAACACAGTGTTAATTTTAATGGATGGTTATATGATTTCTATTGTCACAGATGATCCCTGATGTGTTGTTGTTGATTTAACAATATCTATTTGCATGGCTTCTGCACCTGGTGAATTTTCCGCTGATGATTGTAAGATTTCGTCGTCATCGACGGATTCATCCTCCTCTTCTTCAAAACTATCTTCATCCACAACATCTACATTTTCATTCATTATAGCTCCTGTGCTAATTTCATATATCATTTTCGCTCTAAAATATCCCATCTTTGATTGTGTAAATGATAGAGGTGCATTCCGACTTATGTGTTCCGCCGTCATCATTGCAAACACGCCACAGTCATATGAATTCCTCTGTTGCGGAGTTTTCGTCTGAAATTTACAAAATTTTTTTTTACTTTTCAGCGTTCAATAATGAAACACATATACATACATATATATATACATATTATTTTTTTTTTTAAAAAAAAAAAAAACGCTTTTATTACCCTCGGTTCATAGGTTTCCCAAGTAGCAAAATTGAAGTGCTGATTATTGGTTTGCTTGGCTAGATAGATAAAGAATTCCTTTAGTTCCTACAAAAGTTAATAACATGTTAATTGACGTGTTGCTTGAAAATTAACCAAAAATTATTATAAAATTTTACTTACTATAATAAAAGCTGGGTTAAACCCTGAGCCAAGAGAGTCATAGTACTCGAATCTACATAGTCTGAAGTTCACCACGGCTAAAGTCCAATGTGCGCCCGTATTAATAGGTATGAACATATAATCCTTATTAATGATATTTGGCGGAGGTGCCTATTTCCATTAAAGACAAAATTAAAAAAAAGAGGGTTATATAAAATCAAGAGTCAATTGATTCAACAAACGCATACCTTTTTCTTTTTATTTGGTCGTGGTATGAACCAACCCGCTACAACCTTGTGACCAAATCCACTTTGCATTAGTTTAGTATAGAAAAATGTATTAACAACATGAACCGGTGGATATATATCGGGATTGTTTTGTGCTCGCTCGATAATGAGATTACCGTAAAAATTGATGACCTATAGAAACGTAAGAAAAAGTGTTTATCGAATTAGCAAAATTCCGTATTGAAAAAAAAAAAAGTGGAAGAGAATCACACCTCATCATTAAGCCAAGCACCATTGGTCAACGTGCGGATATGGGCTGCTGATATTTGCAGGTTGAACTTCTCAATTATCATATACGATGGTGCATATTCGCCATGTGAATCTAGATATTTTGCGATCTGTAATGTCATATTGTATACTCGGTGAGTTTCAAATGCCTTATATAAATTTAAGAAAAATAATTATCATATGAATTATATTACCTGAATCTGCTGGGCAATAGATAGTTGTGGATATTTTGAACTAGATTCCAGTACTCTGCGGTGATTCTCAATCTTGTTTAATCATATAAAAGAATAAAGTTAATAATGACTTTATTAATATATATATATATATATTGATACAAAGAATTTCTAATATTTACCATATAATCGGATTGGCGTGATTCGTCAATTATCGGCGTTGATACGCTTGGGATATCATCATATCTAAAGAATGTGGAGCGTTTAGAGCGCATATAAATTATCAAATAAGCATAATAAGAAACAAGCGAATGATTTGAAAAAAGATCCGACTTACGAATGCCAATTTTGTGAAGAGGTAGGCGTACTTATATCATCGCTAGAATATTGACTATGGCCATTCGGTGATGCAATAAATTCTGTAATAGTTACAAAGTATAGCGTTAAAAAAAAAAAGCTAAGCCACTGATTTATGAAACTCAGTAAAAGGGGAAATATTAACCTGCATCCCATGACCTTTTGCCATTCGTTATAACAGCATTCTTCCCTTTATACAAAAGAGAGATTATTGAATGAATTCAACATAATTATTAAAAAAAAAAAAATAGACTAGAATTACGTTAAGCTTCTCACCTTTCTCCGTTTTATTATTTACTGATTTATCAAAATTGATGCGCAAGTCCCGCGACCTTGCATGGTTTAGATTGCTCGAACTTAATCTTTGGCCTTTTGGCAACGATATAAAAATTAATAAACAAGACCAGATAATAGCCGATATATGCTAAAGAATCTGGCTTACAGAATTTTTGCAAAAAATGGAAGAGTCGTCGTTTACTTATGAAGCTTACCGTTATTCTGTATAATTGTAGAAGCCCAATTTTTCAATTTCTCTGGAACTATAATATAGTTTAAAAATAATTATAAATAAAAATTTCTAAATGATTCCCTAAAATATATCGAAAATATTAATTTTAAATACTAACCTACAACGGGCGCAGTTATAGGCCTTTGGGTTATATCTAAACCATCCATAAACAACTTATCATTTGCTTGGAATGCTAAAAAATAAGATGTACAGGTAAATTTAAATAGTATCATAATACTAGAATAAATGATCGTGAAATGCCTATCACATACATATTGCAGCGAGACTTTGTTTCGCTATAATTCTTCTTTTCTCATCCTGCAATGGTTTTTTCTATAAGAGTAAAGGAGATAATTAATGATCACGTGGAATCTGAAAATGAATAAGACAAAAAATCTTTTTTTTTATGAAAAAGAAAAAGGGGGGGTAACTTACGCTATAAAATCGAGGCTTGCCATTTTTTTTTTTTTCGATTCGCCCATTCTGTACAGACTCTTTTCCTTTTTCATACTTTGGAGGTATTTTTTTTGGAGCCCTATATGCTTTATCAATATACTCATCACTTCCACCGTTCCCACGATCTGTCGTTCCTTGAGAAAAAAATATGTGAGAATTGTCCTCAAAGTAAGGCCCACCCATCGTAACAAGTGAAACAGAGTTTGATATATATATGCGGATCGTCTATTTTATATCTATTTTTTTCGAAATTTTAACAAATACTTTGACAGCACTGGAAAGATTGTAGGCTGAGTATAATTAGTTAGCCTTTTGGAGTGCTCGTTGCAATTATGTTGAAGGGAAAAAAAAAAAAGTTGTCATACATTCGTACCAAAAGTATGTTTATATTATTATCCCGTGATCTTTGGCCAAAATTAAATCTATTAATCTTATAATTCCAGTCAACAGACCTTAATACCTCGTTTCCTTATTTGAATTAGAGATAATTAGAGATAACAGGAATGCTCGAAAAATTTCATAAAAAGCGATAAATAATAGTAATAATAATAATAATCATAATAATAATGATAATTATAATTATTAGCTTAGCATAGTATGTACTAGTATTATTCTCGTTATTATTTAAAGTCTATAATTTTCATTGATCGATACGCAGTTAAAATAGTTTAAAAATACAGACGAAAACCACAACTAAAGTTGATTCAAGAGCAATCAAATACTACTGCACTTAGAATTTATATTTAACATAGGCAATAACATTTGAAAATAACATTTTAACATTTGAATAATTTTTGAATAATTTTTGAATAATTTTTAATAATTTTAAATAATTTTGAATATATAGTAATGTATTCTTTTTGCGCACACGACATAAAAATCCGAAAAAACAATGTTCTTGAAAACCACAGGTTCGTTTTCAAAGATTTTGGATTTAAACGAATGCTACAAAGCAATAAGGTTCATTTAAACCAAAATCATCTAGAATAGACGGTAGTTTTCGAGATATACGATGATGATAATTAAAATTAAAGTTATAAGAAAGAGATGATGAAAGACTGTCTACTTTTTTCTGATTTTTTTTGGGCTAAATTGTTCATAGCATTCGTTTTAAGTTTAAAATTATCAGCCGTTCTTGAAATACCAGCAGTGTTAGGGGCGTGCTACTTATTATGCAATATTTTTTATTTAAGAGCTCTACCTTCCATTGTATCCATTGTATGATGCGATTTAAACAATATATCGTACAACACCGATTCTTAAGCACGGCACATCTGTTATTGATATTTTTGGTTTTAAATGAATGCTATATACATATTTGATTTGTAGTATTTGTTTAAGTCCGAAATGATCGAAAACGCACAACCATTCTTGCGTTACGGAAGGTTATGTTTTTTCTTTTCTTTCATGAATTGTGACATACAATAATGTACTGTACTATACATACATAAAGTCGCATCGATCTTTATATTATTAACAATGTATAACGATAAATTGATATTGTTTCCATATTAGTCATGTTTTCTATTCACAAACACAACGACAAACAGAAAAGCAGAAATCTTGATGTTAGCATCAACAATCAAATATTTAATACGTAAAAAAGAACAAAAGTTTAAACATGAATGATTCATGTTTTTTTGGCTATAATATATATATATATAGCTTGTTATATTATATACTAACTATTTTAATAAGTAATTGTTACAAATGCTAAAAATACACCGCTGTACAATCTACACGTAAATAAATTATGGTTGTATAATACATGTATAATCGATTGATATCTAATGAGATATAAATACAAAAAAAAAATATGTATATATTTTTAATTTAATAAATTAATCGAATAGCCTTGAATTCCTGATAGAGTCCAGCAGCTGACTTGCACTATGATGTATCAGCTTACTACCCCTCGAGAGATGTTTCGCGCTATCACTACTTCTTGAAGAACTAGTGCTTCCAGAACTATTCCGATTTCCGCGAGGAATGTCATAATGAACATGTGGTCTTAACGCTACATAGTCGATCGTCTATTCATTTTTTTAAAAAAAATAAAATAAAAAGTAAAGTGCGATCAGAAAAAACAATTTAGATTGAAAATAAAAATTTAAATCGAAAATAATCCAAAAATAATTTTTATAAAAAATAATAAACATACAAATCCATTATCTGAGGAATGTCCCCATCGAGCATTCTTATTAAAAGTGGTTAATTCAAATAAACAATTGGTGGTTTTACGTAAACTCATGTCTTTAAGGTTGCGTACGGATTTGTAAGGTTCGATAAGGATAGGGTAAGGAAGGATGAAACAAAACCATCCTTTGCCAATAACCCGAGTGAAATCGGATTTTTGAGCTACATACTTATAAACTTGCGTAGAAGTTCTCTGGTCTTTGAAGTCCTAATTGTAAAACCAGTTATAGGCTTGAATTAGTTGATAATAGCATTTACGTAAACAGGTTTAAACTTGAAGGTTACCATCGTGTCTACGGTAGTATAAAATCCAAATTCAGGTTCTCCATTTAATTTATCAATTTTCAGTCTCCACACAACGTCATACCATCCTCGCGATGGATATTTGATACAAACTTGAAGCTGTTGATTTGATTTAAAAAAAATTCTTAAGTTACTATTTTATACAGCATATAATTCATTTTATTTTATAGCATTTATATTAAATTTACCTGAAATAACTTAGTCCTTTGTTTTATAATACTTCCAAATTCACTATAAATAAATTGACCCAAAATAAGAAGCTGATTTTTATGCTGATGTAATGTAATTTAATATTAGCAAAGAATACCTTTCTTTAGATGGTATTAGTTTAAATTCTTCATTGTCCCACCAACTTCCCGCGCCATCCGTTGATTCATCACGTCTCTCCGACATTGGGTATTTAAAAGTTGCTAATAAAATATACATGCATAACGTTTGTTATATGCAACTAAAAAAAATACATTGTTAATAAAAATGTTGAAATAAGTAATTACCTAATATCATATAAGCTCGTTTTAAATTCAAAGTATCGTCCTCAATAGATTTGAATTTCCCAGTTAATTCTGGATCTATATTGTAACGCTTTAAAACTTTTTCGAATCCTATCCAGTCTTTCCAATCGCGCTTTAAGATATGATACCAAAAATAGGGATCTTGAGTGTGTAATCTACATCTTCTATTTACCTGTTATATATATAAATGTAACATAATGTAATCAGCGAAGGTAAATTTGCGATTAAAAATAATAACAATTCTTTATGATGCATTACCATACAAAAAGCCAAAATATCAGTAATATCTAATTCTTTCAAGATTTTTAAAATAATTTCATGTTGCATTTTTGAAAACAATTCCGTGGCTTCAATTGATGTCTCGATAACATCTTGCCATCTAACATAATCAACAATTGGTCCTTTATGTGATAAGAAGTTATAAGTAGGTTTAGGACTTGTAGGAGATGTTTCGCAAGTGAATTCTGAATATGATTTGGAATTTTGTTTTCGATGAAGAATTAATGATATCCCTTTTTCGTTCCGCTGCGAACTCATCTTTCTTTTATTCCTTATTACTGGTATTAAAGGTTAAAATGAAGTTATCGAAGACTTACCGTTATTTGGCCTGCTTATTTATATATGCACATCTAAATATAAATATGCAACAAAGATTGATGTTCCCCAATTAAACATGCATTGTCCTCTTTTGATTAACAATATAATACCGTTTTATTTACTTGATTGTTTACATTGTGTAAAAAAAAAAAAAAGAATCATCGCAACTGTATATAGGGCTTTATGTCTTTATAGTTCTTGCGTATGATCATATAAACAAACCGATTGTATTTTTAACATATGACTACGGTTGCCAGACTGTTTTGCTGTATTGATTAGTTAATATATACACAATATAAAGAATATATATTCAACTATAATATAGTCAAATACGTATAACGACAACTCATATGGAAAACATCTGTAGCAAATCCAGATAATCCTATATCAGGTCAGAAATTTCATCCATTACTGCTCAGCGTCTAAACTCTTTTATTCCCATCACTATTTTAAGTTCAAGTTGAGAATGACTAGCGTTAGCCGCTTAGGTAAGTTAATTAAAAACTATTAGTCATCAGCTGACTAAAAAATATTATTTGATTAGTCCTTCAGGTTAGGGGTAGCGGTAGGGTCATCGTCAATCAGAAATTGTCGATTAATCGACTGACTAACTTTCTACCTTTGTACTTATTAAAACTATATATATATTTAGAAAATGGAAAAATTACAACTTAAATAAATTAATTTTTGATCCCCATAATCAGACAAAATCAATTTTTTTGCAAAATTAAAAAAATTTTTTTTTAAACATTATAATATCCTGTTGTCGACTTTAGTTAGCAGATATCTATTCAACTAAAGTCGACTAGTTGATTAATATTAGAGTTGTAGGTGAAACTAATTTAGTTTCACCTTAGTTTCAACCGGAGTTTCTCATTGGCTATTATACATATTTAGTTTCGCCAGTTTCACCAGCATTTACCAAATTTTCACCAGTTTCATCTGCAACTCAAAGTTTCGTCTGCAACTTTAAATTAAATTTACTAATTATGTGTGTTAATATGAGTGTTAATATAATTTATGTTTGAAATCAGGTTCCAATTATATTAAATCGACTAGTTATGTTTGTATATATCGATATCGACAAAATAAAGTTGATAGAGTCAATTTTGGTCGACAAACTGGTGATCGACTGCAAAACACTACTTGTAGATTTTTTATACATTTACATGTGCGATTATGTTAAATTGCAGCTTTAATAAATACAGTTGTGCATCTTTTAAGGGAGTTACGTAATAGCCAAAAATTTATTAATTGAAGGAAAAATCTGGAAAAATGTTATAATTTGTTATCTTTAAATATATAATATCTATACACTCAGACCTCTTCCTTAAATGCATATTTCCTAAATGCATATGCATATTTTCTAAATGCATATTTCCTAAATGCATAGTCTATAAAAGACCTCATGGCCTTGTTTGGCCCCAACTCATATAACACTTATAGATTTTATCTCTCTAAATGCAATACCTCTCCAAATACAAGATTTTTTGGCTGCCCCACGGCTATGCATTTAGAGAGGTCATACTGTATAAAAAATACTATATATATATATATAGTATATATATATTAAATCAAATACGTATAAAAAACATATAGTTGAAATAAATAAAATACAGTATTGTTGGACTATAATATATAATAAAATACTGTATATACAGTATTTTAATAACTAACTTTTATTAAAACGCATCTATGGTGTTTTACCACTTAAAAACCTGCTAATTAGTTAATATGCGATGCTTTAAAATCTTTAATTTTAAATACTAGCTTCAATATAAAAAATTTGTGCCAAAAATTTTATATATTAAATTTATAAAAAAATAATATTAGTAATTAATATAGTCAAATCTCTCTAAGTCACACATTTGAAATACAAAAATGTGACAATTTATTATATTTAATAATAGTTTGTTTTTAAAAGAAATATGCTTATAAAAAAAATGCGTTTATATAAAAGATGACTATAAGGAGATTTGATTATACAACAATAAATTTACCAAAACAATTTATAATATTTATATTTATAAATTATTTTAAAAGCCAGCTAATTAATTAAGCAAAATATAGTACTTACTTTAAGTGAAATATTTTATATTTTTAAAAATTTTTTTAAACTATAAATATTATTGGTTAAAATAAAATATATTAAACAAATACCAAATTCTATAACAAAAATTTGTTCAACAAAAACTGTAAGTTATGATAGAAAAGAAGAATATAAGACTAAAAAAAAACTATAAATTAGTATTATTATTTATAAATAGATCTTATATGGAGTTTTTGCTTTAAAAATCACACTCTAATATTTCTAATTAGATTAATTCAAACAAAAACAAATCTATATATTAGTTTATATTTATATTTAAATCTCTTTTGATTTTATTAATTCAAAACTTTATTCTATAAACTATAAAAATATAAAGACCAAAATAGTTTATATATAAATATAAACTAATATATAGCTTTGTTTTTATTTAAATTAGAAATATCAAAAAGTAATTTTCAAAACAAAGATCTATATATTACCTGCTTAGGTCTAGAGTAATATTACAAATCAAAAATTAAAAATTGCAACTAATCAAAAAGTTGACAACTAATCAATTGAAAATTTTTTGACAACTTATATTAAAAATCAAATAAAAATTAAACAAAAATCAAATAAAAATTGAATAATTAAAAAGTTGACAACTAATCAATTGCAAAATTTTTGGCAATTTGTATTACTAGTCTAGAGTTTATTACTTACTATAAGAATACTATTTATTATTTAAAAGTAGTTTTTATATACTACTTATTAACAAATTAAAGTTTATTACTTATTAAAAAAAAAACTAGCAATATGCTTAGCTTTATATATCTTATTATTTTTAGAAAAAAATATATTTTCTCTTAAAAAAGTATAAAATTTATACTTCTCACTATTACTCATTTATATTCTTAACAAAATTTTTATAAAACAGCTTATTTTTATTAAACAATTAATATTATTTATTTTTATTAAATTCAGATAACCTAGTAAATTGCAACTACTGTATGTGTTTTGTTTACAAATATAGTACTATTTTACAAGACAAAATTTTTAACTAAAGCAGTATTCAAAGATAGTAATATTTTTAGAAAGAAAAAATATATATTAAAACAAAGTTTTATAATAAAATATACAATAAATTGTAATTGTTATATAATTTTTATTAGTCTAGTATGAGTTATAAGAGTCTTTATTCAATTTAGCCAATAATCTCTTATCTGTCTTCATACCAAAATCTATAATATTTTTATTATAGTATAACTGTTTATATAACTTATCTGATCAACTACATTCTAATTTTTATTTTTATTCTCTAACTAGGCTTGCTAGATACAAATTTAATATTTGGTCTACTTTGTGAATCCAGTTCAGTATTTTTGCTAATTATATATTAAACATTCAAGTTTTGACCACTCTAGTAGATTTAAATTGCAGATAAATAATTAGTTTGAGCTTTTTTTTTTTTTTTAACTTTCAGCAATCATACCTTCACTTTATTAAGCTATAATAAACAAATTATACAAGTTTATTAATCTTATCAAACATATTGTATCTAACTATCTAAATTACAAATGTTAGCTAACCCAGTTGCATCAAATGTGTACCTATATTCAACCTGCTATAGTAGAGTTTATCTCTTTACTTATCTCTCCTGCAATTAAAGTAGATAAATAGATTTATAACTGGTTCTATGGCCTGTTATGACTGCTAATTTCTCTAAATCTCCTCTCTTCTAAATATCAGAGCAAGAGAATTCCATAATCCCTGCCTAAAGAATGACAAGTAACTAAAAAAAAAAACTAAACTAAAAAAGGATAGTAAAAAAAAAGATATAAATATTACAAGACCTAAACAAAAATCAAATACAAAAAAAAAAAAAAAAAGATATAAAAAAGACAAAGAAAAAAACATAAATATAACAACACTAATTGCACCAATGCGAGGCTTAAAAAATTATTTAATACTCCATAAAGCAATCTCTATCTTCACTTTACTTTGGTATTAAAATAGTTCATTTATATAGGGAATACAAAATTTTTTTTGTTTACTCTATAAATCCATCATGTGTTATTTATTGTTGTTTAGACATGTAGTAGCATAACTTTTTCCTGATTTAGCTATTTCCAATTTGGCCACATAAACAATATTGATCCTTTGTAAGGGGTATGTCGAATTTTTCATATTTTGGAAAAAATTTTGAAAGAAACACCAAAAAACCCAGCAGAAATATGGAAGGTAGTTTGCAAAATCAGACACTTTCAAAATTTCAAAAGAGTGTATTGAAGTCTACAAATATTTGTTGTTTCCCCTATATTTTGTTAATAGCCTAAGAGCTTCGTTGATGATGAAAAAGACTTTGTCTTTTCATCAAGATTTTTATATAAGGGCATTACCTGCTAGTTATCTTGTACAATAACACTTTTGGTTTGCATGCTGAATGTCTTTTTAGAGAAGTTTTGTGAAAAGAAAACATTAATCTCTAGACAAACCACTACATAGACCATGACTTTTCAACAAAAATTGTGTTTTTTTTTGGTAAAAATTTTGGTATAAGTAATTATCGGGAAGAGTTGTGATTATTTATAATTAGTTTGAGCTTTTATTCTTGCATATAGTTTATATTTATTCATTTATACTGTATATAAATTAAGTTTTCATTTAGTTTTGTTTTTTTATGATTACTTATATAAATTATTCAATAAAAATATGAGTAAGACCTCATCTTTTAATATCAAAAAAAATAAAATAATAATAGTATATTTGGATTTTTATTTTTATTTTTTTAACAATATTGTCTTTTTATTACCCAAATTGTGAAATGCTAATGCATTATTTTTATATTTCAGATTTTAGTACATTATTAGTAAATTATTTCTAACTAGTATTTATTATACTACTATCACTAAGT